CCTTTATCTGATATGTCATTTGCAAATATCCTCTCCCATTCTGTCAGTTTCTTTCGCCTATTTTCTAATTGGATTCTTTTTATTTTTTTAACTGCTGAGTTTTAAAAGTCATTTATATACTCTAGATATATCCTTTGTTAGATATGTGGTTTGAAGATACCTTCTCCAAGCCTATAGCTTATATTTTCATCCTCTTTAATAGGGCGTTCACAGAGCTAAACAACCTCAGTTTGTTGAGATTTAACTTATCAACTTTTACTTTTATGGTCATATATGTGATATCAAGATTAAGAACTCTTTGCCCAGCCCTATCTCCTATTTATTTTCCTGAAAAAAATTTTATAGTTCTATACTTTACATTTAAGTCCACAAATCCATTTTGCATTAGTTTTTGTGTAAGGTGTGAGGTTAAGATGGAAGTTCATTGTTTTTTGTCTAGGGATATCCATCTGCTCCAGCACCATTTGTTGAAAAGTCTATCCTTCCTCTATGGAACTGCTTTTGCACCTTTGTTAAAAATGAGGTGGGCCTGGGGTGTGGTTAAGCGTCCAACTTCAGCTCAGGTCATGATTTCATGGTTCGAGGGTTTGAGCCCCACATCAGCCTCTTTGATGACAGCTCAGAGCCTGGAGCCTGCTTCAGATTCTGTGTCTCTTCCCCTGCTCTCTGCCCCTCCTCCACTCATGCTCTGTCTCTCTGTCTCAAAAATAAATAAAACATTCCAAAAATGTTTTAAATAAAAAATGAGGAGGGCATATATCTGGGGTTTATTTCTGAGTTCGCTCTTCCACAGATTCATGTTTCTGTCCCTTCACCAATACCACAGTGTAGTGATTTCTGTAGCCATATAATATGCTTTAATACCAGATACAATGACTCTTCCCATTCGATTCTTCTTTTTCAAAATCGTTTAAGCTACTCTAAGCCTTGTGCTTTTCCATATGAATTTTAGAAGAAGATTTATGTATACACAAAAACCTGGCTGAGGTCTTGATAGCAATCATAGTAATTATATTAAATCTACAGATCAATTTAGGGTGAACTGACATCTTTACTATGTTGAACTTTGCAATCCATGAACATGGTATATCTGTCCATTTATTTAGGTCCTTTTTGACCTCTTTCACAGTTGTTTTGTAATTTCTTTCTGTTTCATCTCCCTCAGGAACCATACTCAGATATCCTGGTTCCTCTTTATTTCCACTTGCCAGTTTTTTAGTATAGAACTTAGTCTCTTCTCTTCACTTCTTCTAAAATAGTTATCCTAAAACACCCCTTCCTACTAATGCCCTGAAACTGTATCACCTTTGATGCCTTGCTTTCCATAATCTGCTCACATTCCCTTCTATCTGTCCCAACTTTGTTTTCCTTATGCTATTCCTTATGTAAATTATTTCTTATTGAAAAAGGAATATACCTAATGCTGATAGGTGGGGAAAATAAAGGAAGAAGGTAGAAAGATACATTTTGATAACTTTAAAAACTATTATCATTGCAAAAAACATGGCATTAAAGTGAAATAGAAAAGTTACCTATAGTCTTACTTCCTAATTATTTTTATCTTTTAATATTATCTTCCTTTCCATAAGAGTAAAGACTGGCTCAATCACAGTGAACTCGCCTTAAACTGTCAATTTTTTTCACTTAATATTGTCAATGCTTTCACTGTTTCTACATTAACATCACAATTACGTCAGTAGCTGAAAAAATATCCCATTGTGTGGATATAAAAAATTACACATTTATTTGCTGATTGTTGGACAGTGGGATTGTTTCTAAGTAACACTTTGCTATTACAGGTCACATAATAAATCACTCTTGTTTCTTTTAAAATATTTTCCTGAAGTTAAGTTTTCGGGAATGAGATTAGTGGGCCAAAGCCTATGCATTCTTTATGGCTCTTCCTCTGTATTATCTTATTACTTTTTCAAAAGTCTGTGTATCACCACTAAGAGGAAGCAGTTCATAACAAACTTTCAGCAACAGTATGACTGAAGGTTTTTATTTTATAGGTATAAAATGATACATAAAATCTACATTTATTTTGTAAGTGTTGGATACCAGTGTAGCATGTTTCCATGTTTCATTAACTGTATTTCTAATGTTATTTCTTTATACCCTCACTAACTAAACCTGGAAAAATTATGAAGAAACTCGGGAATTCTTTTTATTTATAAATTTTTTTTAACGTTTATTTATTTTTGAGACAGAGAGGTACAGAGCATGAACAGGGGAGGGGCAAAGAGAGAGGGAGACACAGAATTGGAAGCAGGCTCCAGGCTTCAAGCCATCAGCCCAGAGCCCGACGCGGGGCTCGAACTCACAGACCACGAGATCGTGACCTAAGCCAAAGTCGGACGCTCAACCGACTGAGCCACCCAGGCACCGCTGGAATTCTTTAAAAAGTTTTAAGGTGATAGTCTTTTTTCTTCTTTGTTCTCATCTCAACTATTTATCTGGAAATAGATGCATCTCTAGCCTTCTACTACATTGGGTCCATGAGGGCAAGAGATCAGGTCTATTTTATCATCAATGTATCTCCAAACACTCATGACTTCATTCGTTTGTTCATTCATCACTCAATACAGATATTGAACTTTTGCTGGGTTCCAGGTGCTGCCCCGGCACCAGGGAGACAGCACTGAACACAGATGTGACAGGGACTGCCTGTGCTTTAATAGGATCTGGGTCTGCTGTACTGTGTGTAGACTCTGGAGGGCGACCAAGGGCAGGAGGACAGGGAGCAATGCTCCAGGTGAGTGGTGAAGGTGGCTATAATGCAAAATGTGTGGTGGGGTGGTGAACAGGAGGTCTTCATACTGGATATAGTGTGAAGGTTGAGTCAACTATTCCCAGCATCTGATACATACTCAATATTTGTTTAACAAGAATATAAGACATTCATTCATCCTAATGGTTTAATTTTGTAGTTACCAAACAAAACAAATGCATACCACTTATCTCAACTTCTCAAGCAAAATTTCTTCTTTGTTTGGCATTCTATTCTCTTTTTACCACTCCCTGATGCTGACCACGACTCCATGTCTTGTCTTGGTGAGGGTCCAGGTACCACCCAGGTAGGATCACTGCCATGACCTGACATGTCCTTCGCCAAAGGCCCTGCCTTACTCCTGGTTCTCACTCCAGATAAGGCTCCATTGTAAGGATACAGGATATCCTTACAATGGCCATTATGACTCAAGCCCAAATCCACAGAAGGAGTATGGAGTACTGCAAATGTCTATTTCCTCTTCCAATTTCCCCATTTATCATTAGAACCAAGCTACTAGGATTGGTATTTGAGAAGAGGTCACAAGAGGGGAGAGAGAAGTAGGTGAGGTACCTGGCTTGTGGCAAGAGTCCAACTCTCCCACTTTCAGGAGATTCCAGGTGATGCCCTCCTGTCTCATGGTTGGTGGAAAAGAAGGTGAGGTCCACTGGACCGGGAATAGAAATGAATACCAATGGCCAGATGGTCTTCCAAGGCAATAAAAGAAGAATTAAGTTCAAAATGGAATGGTTTTAAAAGGAGCATATGATGGTAGCTACAGAGATAGACTGTGTTTATGTGTTCATTACATTGGGAACAGCCTGTATTTTGAGCCTGAGTCAATATTCTAAATCTCATTCCTTCTATGCATTCATTCAACACATATTTACTGAGTGCCTCTGGGGAGGGTACAGAGATGAACAAGACAGAATGTCTGTGTTTACATGGAGCTTATGGTAGGATAGAGGAGACGAGCAGATAAACATGTGATATAGTGCTGGGGAGAGGTTAGTACAAGGATAAAAAAAATAAAGCAAGGCAAAGGACAGAGAGCAATGGACATACAAGCTATTTTAGAAAAAAAAAAGGCATCTCTGACAAGGTAACATTTGAGCTGAAAGAAATAGAAAATAATCGATAAGCACATTCAAGATACACAGACAAATTTAGAGTATTTGTAGGACTCTAGGCAGGCATGGTTATAGAACAGTGAACGAGGCAAAGAACAGAGATGGGACCAGAGATACAAGCAAATGTCAAATGGTGTCGGCTACCATCAGCAGTCTGGAGCTTATCTGAACTGCATTGGGAAGCCAGCTGGTCAGTCTTGAGCAGGGAGTAAAATGATTAGATTTGTGTTTTTAGAAACCACTCTCTCTTAGAGGAGAACTGGCTGGGAGCAGGCACAGCAGTTACACAGACCAGAGACAATAATAGTTTTAACTTCAAGTAAGAGCAGTAGAAATGGCAAGAAAAAGTCTAATCCAGAATGTGCTTTGAAGGTAGAGCTAACAAGACTTGCTGATGCATTAGGTATGGATTATAAAGAAAAGAGCAGTCAAGGAGGAATCCTAGGTTTGGGGCTTCGGAGACTAGGTGAGGAGTGGGATCACATACTATGTGGGAAGACTGAAAAGAGGGGTAGGCTGGGGTGGGTTAAGTTGGGCAGGAAACGAAGAGTTCTGTATCAGACATGTTACATTTGAAATGCCCTCCACACTGGATCTGGAGCGTAAAGGGAAATATTTTGGCTGGAGGTATACGTTTAGAAGTCATCAGTACCTAGATAAATATTTAAAACTATGTAACTAGACATGGTCTAGTTACTAGACATGGTCTCCTTGAGCATTCAGATTAGAACAGTCATTCACCTAAAGATATCATTGAATTCTACTGCACAATAGAACAAAGCGCATAGGAACCTACAGGAAAGAAAGAAGGGAACAGCAATGCCAACTCACCTTTGGCACCAGCTGATGACTTTGCAATCCAAACATTGCCTTCTCCCTCTTCCTTCTTTCTGTTGTAAGAAGCCAGGAAGAATTCCCTTTCATCTGTCCTTGAGCTATGGATCGGTGGGTGGATTCCATTCTGTGCTGGGGCAACTGGGGTCTTGAGATTAGTTGGGTAAATCACATAGGACTCTGGAAACCATGTGCAGGACTCAGCCAGGTCTGGGCTCGTCTTGATTAGCCTGACAGATGACAGAGGGTCAGTCTCCCTTCTTAGTACACCCTGCCACTCCATTCAGAAAAGCCAGTGCTTTCCCCCAGAGCTTGTCAGGAGGCAGGGCAACACCAGAGCCAGGAGCTGGTTTCTTTATCCCACTCTGCTCTTGGCCTCCCTGAGCAGACCCGTAAGACACTATTGGGCAGCACATAGCTACTACATGCAGCCCTTAAGGCATGTTCCAAATAGTTAAACAGGAGCTTAATGTCTAGAACTTTAGCTCCTTTTATTTGTTTACTTTAAAAGCAGTATTTAACTAGGTTATCTTTCACTTTTTTAAAGTTTATTTATTTATTTTGAGAGAGACACAAACACTGTGAGTAGGGGACGGGCAGGGAGGGAGAGAGAATCCCAAGCAGGCTCCACGCTGCCAGCACAAAGACTGACACAGGGCTCAAACTCATGAAACCTCAAGATCATGACCTGAGTGGAAACCAAGAATCAGACGCTTAACTGAATGAGCCAAGAAGGCGCCCTCAGAACTTCAGCTGTTTTTAAAATGCATCTCTAGGGGTGCCTGGGTGGCGTAGTTGGTGAAGCGTCTGACTTCGGCTCAGGTCATGATCTTACGGTCTGTGGGTTCGAGCCCCACGTCGGGCTCTGTGCTGACAGCTCAGAGCCTGGAGCCTGCTTCATTCTGTCTCCGTCTCTCTGCTCCTCCCCTGCTCACACTCTGTCTCTCTCTCTCTCTCTCTCTCTCAAAAATAAATAAACATACATACATACATACATAAATACATAAATTAAAAAAAACGCATCCCTAAGGAAACTGGAAGTAAGTCTGAAACCATACTTTTTCAACATTTACGTTGTGGTTAGGCTAAACTTATGCTAAAAAAAACAAAGTAGAGAATTTAGGAAACTATATTCTAGTATTTACTAGAAAAAATACTATCTTGGCCCAACTCTCTGAAGAACAAAGGCCACTGCTTAGGAATCTGAGTTATCCGGGGCACCTGGGTGGCTCAGTCAGTTAAGCATCCAACTTCGGCTCAGGTCATGATCTCACAGTTGTGTGGGTTCAAGCCCCGTGTCAGGCTCTGTGCTGACAGCTCAGAGCCTGGAGCCTGCTTTGGATTCTGTGTCTCCCCTCTCTGCCCTTCCCCTGCTCACGCTCTCTACCTCTCAAAAATAAATAAAAATGTTAAAAAATATATTTAAAAAAGGAATCCAATTATCTATTTAGTTCATTGCTTGTTTTTAGCTCAACCTGGCTTCAATGACTATTAGAATAAAGGAGGAATCTATCTTTTTTTAATGTTTACTTATTTATTTTGAGAGAGAGAGAGAATAGGGGATGGGTGGGGGAGAGAGGGAGAGAGAGAGAATGAATATCCCTGACCTGGGGCTTGAACTCATGAATTGTGAGATCATGACCTGAGCCAAATTCCAAGAGTCAGACGCTTAACTGACTGAGCCACCCAGACACCCCAGAATAAAGGAGGCACAGAATAATGGGGCATAGGACTCCAGTGATCATAACTAAAAACACCTCCTGACCCCAAAACAACATACATGACAGAACATAAAGTCAGGCCATGAGCTAGGCACTTAATAAACACAAGGGCTTACTAAGGGCCTCCCATTGCATTTACTCTCCAATCAGACCCCCAAAGGGGAAAGCACTAGCATCCCATTTCATAGATGAGGCACTGGGTCCAACCAAGAAGTAAATTTCCAAAGATCATAAAGGTAGTAAGAAATAGGTACTATGCGAGCTCCAACCTCCCAGTCCTCACTCGAAACTTACTCTTACTTCCCAGGAATCAGAGGCAGGAAGGAACCCACACAAAGATCTGCAGGCCTTCCCTAAGGTGCACTCCCTTCACTACCTAGAACAGAACTATTAATGTTAAGCCTGTGTTAAGATCCACCAGCAAGGGGCACCTGGGTGGCTCAGTTGGTTAAGCATCCAACTTGATTTCAGCTCAGGTCATGACCTCATGGTTCGTGAGATCATGCCCCATGTCAGACTGTGCTGAGAGCACAGAGCATGCTTGGGATTCCCTCTCTCCTTCTCTCTCTCTGCCTCTCCCCTGCTCATACTGGCAGGCTCTCTCTCTCTCACTCTCTTTTAAAGAAATTAACATTAAAAAAAAAAAAGATCCACCTGCAAAATCAATCTATGAGCAAACGGCAGAAATAATGAAATTTTCAACAGAGATTTAAAGTAAAATTATTTTTTCAGAATTTTTAAATGTTTTTATTTATTTTTGAAAGAGCATGAATGGGGGAGGGAGAGAGAGAAAGAGGGAGACACAGAATCTGAAACAGGTTCCAGGCTCTGAGCTGTCAGCACAGAGCCCAATATGGGGTTCAAACTTGTGAACTGTGAGATTATGACCTGAGCTGAAGTGGGACGCTTACCTGACTCAGCCACCCAGGTGCCCCTAAAGTAAAATTATTTTTAAGCCAAAGGCAACAGAATTTGAAAGTTACTTGAATTCAAAGGAACAAAAATCAATAAATTTCTAACTCACTGAATATTCCACTCTATCTACACTGGCCAAACAGTGGCCACTAGCCACACGTGGCCTCTGAGTACTTGAAATCTGGCCAATGTGACACGGGAACTGAATTTTAAACTTTGTTTAGTTTTAATGTAAAAACTGAAGTGTTGTATTCTCCCATTATTCACAACTTCACTCTTTTGGTAGGATGACATTAACCACTGCACGACCTCAGATATTTCTCCGGTCCTGCAGCAGGCACGTCAGGCCATGTGTTGTTCCTAGTAGCTGACATAAACATGTCACTGTTCTACTCTGCGACAATAGATTGATTCAGTTCAAGTGACTTTATCCCCCATCCATTGATGAAGCATCATAACGTGCTTATTATGCGGACAGCACGAGTTACAATGATAACTATGTAAATCGTAACTGGCAACTACTGTGAAGTGTAACTATGTATCTAGCTAAAAAACAATTAGAGAAAAAATTTTAAATTTAAAACAAAGGCATACTACCAATGCCAAATATTTTTTTTGTAAAGTTAATGTGATAGTTTTACTCCCTTTGAGTTTGTGTATCATCCACACCTTCATTGCTACAATTCCATCTGCTCTTAACCTGACGATTGACTTCATAAGCACAGCCTCCAGCATATTCCTGGTGTACCCCAGACAGTTATTTACCATGGCTTTGATAGAGGAAGAAATTTCTTCTCTCAGTTTTTGATTCTCATTTAAAAAAATTTTTTAATGTTTATTGAATTTTGGGAGACAGAGAGAGACAGAGCATTAGTGGGGGAGGGACAGAGAGAGAAGGAAACAACCTGAACCAGGCTCCAGGCTGCGAGCTGTCAGCACAGAGCCCTGTGCAGGGCTCGAACCCAGGAACCTGAGCCGAAGTTGGATGCTTAACCAACTGGGCCACCCAGGTGCCCCTTGATTCTTATCTTCTTAATCAAAGACTGATGCAGAATTGAGTGGGGATGCCGAAGCTAGAACTATGACCAGGACAGTAATGGGGAAAAAAAAAAAAAAGAACTGGCAGAAGCTATGACAGAAATTTCACAATAAATGGCAACTGCAACTTGCTATAGCAGAGTTACAAAGGAGACATTTTCAGAAAATACATAATGTAATGAATTTCATAAGCAGTTTCCACTCAACCATAAGAAAATGGGTCGGGGGAGCAAACCAAAAAACAGACTTTTGGGGCGCCTGGGTGGCTCGGTCAGTTAAGCGGCCGACTTCGGCTCAGGTCATGATCTCGCGGTCCATGAGTTCGAGCCCCGCGTCGGGCTCTGTGCTGACAGCTCAGAGCCTGGAGCCTGTTTCAGATTCTGTGTCTCCCTCTCTCTGACCCTCCCCCATTCATGCTCTGTCTCTCTCTGTCTCAAAAATAAATAAAAGTTAAAAAAAATTAAAAACAACAACAACAACAACAAAAAACAGACTTTTAACTATAGAGAACAAACTGGTGGTTACCAGAGGGGAGGTGGGTGGGGGATGGGGATTAAGGAATGCACTTGTCATGATGAGCACCAGGTGCTGTAATAAGGCTTGAATCACTAAATTCTACACCTGAAGCTAATATTACACTGTATGTTAGCTAACTGAAATTTAAATAAAAACTTAAAAAAAATAATCATTGAAATTTGTGGCTGAAATCAGAATTAAATACCTAACAAAAAATGTTTAAACATATTTTTAACAGGCTCTGAACTTGTAACTTCGGTCAGTTATAAAATGGCATGGATTCTTACACAAAAAAGAAAACCATTTCTATTTATTTGTTTGTTTGTGTATTTATTTATTTATATTTTAGAGAGAGAGAGTGAGCAGGGGAGAGGGACAGGAGAAAAAGAGTTGGAGGCTCAACTGAGCCACCGAGGTGCCCCCAAAAAACCAATTTAGATAGAAATACAGCTGGAGGAAATATTTTGAGGAAAACAGTAAAAATAAGACATTTTACAAAGAGTGAACAATCTTTAGCTAAGTCATGAATACTGCCCAAGGAATACAAAACTTTTCTAATAGTATCAAAGACTGATTCAAAAATGGAAAAATCTTAAATATTTTCCTTCAGTTTTAGTTGAATTCTGTGACATGAGATGTGGCCCAATGAATATTTTGGGAATATTCTGCTTCCAATATTTTTTATAAGTTTATTTAGTTATTTATCTTGAGAGAGAGAGCAAAAGAGCACACACACGCACGCACAAGTGAGGGATGGGCAGAGAGAGAGAGGGAGAGAAACCTAAGCAGGCTCTGCACTGTCAGTTCAGAGCCCAACACGGGGCTCAAACTCACAAATTGTGAGATCATAACCTGAGCTGAAATCAAGAATCAGACGCCTAACTGACTGAGCCATCTAGGCGCCCCTCAAAGAATTTTCAAATACACGAAAAAATATCAAATTCCAGCCTTAAAACTACCAACCTTGTGGTGTAGATATTTTTAAATCTTTTACATCTGTCAAAGAAGAATCTCACCTACATGTGAAAATTTCTATTGTG